GCGAGTTAGGAATGATTTTGCACCTATATTGTCAAGACAATAGCCAATTCAGCTGAGGGCCTATTGAGTTTTCAAGTTAAGGGAACCTATTATTTGGAATCATCTCTTGTTACATAAGTATAATATGATAAAAGGTCCTTGGAACTTTTTCCATTTTAACGTTTGAATAGTTAGGAGGATATGATAACTAAACGTATTCTTATATTAAAAATCAATATATGGCTCGAGATGGCTTTGAAAAATTATATCTGTCAAAAGAGTTTTAAGTGCAGTAATATTTGCTTTTACTATTTTAATCCATTTCCATACAATTACTGTTTCAATAAAAAGGTAAAGCAATCCATAAAGATAACTTACTAATAATATTGACATTGCTAAGATTAAGAAGAGGCTCTTAAAACAGTGAATTTCTAGCTGTAATTCGTAATGGAAATATATTAATGATTATCTTTGGTTATGACAACACAGTAGGCCTACTTGAATTTGTAAACTACTTTCAACAATGATTCCAAATCTTAAATGTTTATCGGTAGGACCTTTTTACGAGTTTTAGAAAAATACATATTTTTTATTTGTGATCGACAAAATAAAACATTAAACTAATAGTCATTTTTTTTCATTTAACTGATATAATTGTATTTTATATATTTTTTGTTTTTTATATTGTATCAAAATGTTGTAATTGTGCAGGTTATCTATTTGATTGAATTTTGAAAGCTTAACAGTATTTTATGTTAGTTAAGCAGTAACTGGTTTCAACATAATAAAAAATTTTTATTTCAATGCTAGTTTATTTTTTATATATTTTACTGGATTTGTAAATTCTTATCTTGACAAATGGCAAAATACTATTTCATGGCTAAAAGGTAAAATGCAAATACTGCTAAGGCCTATATTTAAATCTGCTTTATTTATTTGTAATGAACTATTTTGAATCTCGAGGATAACATTCTGTTTATTAGTTTTACCCATATACTTAAGTATATTTTTAATGTGCTGTTGAATTAGATATGGAAAATGTATGTTAAGACATTCTGTTCTAATACATCACCACCAGTAATGCTGGATAATCAGGGTGTCCACAAAATATTTGTCATTAATTTCCATGACTTTCCATGACTATCCATGACCATTTACCATTGATTTCCATGACTCACGAACTTTACACGCAAATTATAATATAACATACACACACAAATAATACTGCCTGGACATGTTATTTTGCAGAAAATACTGAAATATGTAATAACAGATAACAATGGAGTACAATAGGTACAACAATGAACTAAAAAAAACAAAAAATCATAAAATAATACAACTGTAATAAATTGAATTGTCGAACATTTGTGAAAAATCCTTAAAAATACTGCAACAGTCCGGGTTACGGCTGACTAGAGCATTGAATGGTCCCTTCAAATCCATCCATAATTGGAAATTTCCATGACTTTCCATGACTTCTTGCCTATTTCCCTGACTTTCAATGACCAAAATTGATTTCCATGACTTTCCATGACTATCCCTGACTTTCCAGAATGTGGACACCCTGGATAATGCATCAAAATCTGACAGAACATGAATAATCTGATGCCTACCGAACATGCAAACCTATGGCACAAATATTGTTTTGTTCGACATGGGTATATATTACAAAACATTTTACATTGATGAAATTTGTATCTTTGTTAATAAAAATAGATAGCCTATTTGTTTTATAAACGAAAAGTAACAACAGTTTTTATTACTTTATTTTTGGTTACTATGAAATGAGCTACATGTAAAGATGCCTGACTAAAATATGTCTGTAATTTTTTATGGAACAGTTTTCCAAATTTGTAAAGGAATTGGTTAGATGTTTAGGTGATACTAGTGTACCTGTTGCTCGAATTCGAGCAATTGCAAATTATTACAGGTGTTATTTTAATACAAATAACATTAATAATTTGTAAAATAATTTGTTTTTATAGATCTTTGTAATTTTATTGTGTTACTTGTGGAGAAATAAAGATTTATTATTATTATTATTATTATTATTATTATAATTTCTGATGCCTTTAAAAGATTCGACTCAAAGATTATGGAAATATGCACAACGTAAATATACCAGATCAATATAATCAAAATTTCTTATATATGCCTTAACATTTTTCAAAAGCTGATTTTGTTATTTAGTGTTTTCTACAAATAGTCTTACTCATAGCCGCATTAGGTTGTCCATAATAACGATTATAAATGCTTAAAAAAACACAATATTTCTATTTCTTCTACTTGGTGGTGTTATTATGACTTTCTAATGTTTCCATAGTTTGCAAATCGGCTCTTTCAATGATTGCTCAAGAAATAAAGCACAGTGTTAATTCAGTTTTCTATTTAGTACCTATATCAAATTTCCAGGCTTTCTTGCTTTTTTCATTGTAATATTTACGCCTACCCAATTTAAAATAGTAAATACCGGTACCTATTTCATTTCAACCAAGTCAGTAAATGTTTGTAGCAAACTGTTAAATTAGCAAACTTATTGACTATTTACAATTAACATATTTTCTTCTTCTCACTTTTAATTTCTGATAACAGCTGGAGTTTCATAACAATGTTTGTTTCCCATGTTAATCTTATGGAGAAACACAAAACTTTAAAGGGCCCCAGGGCCTCACTCTCTAATTATTTCAATTTCAAATTATCTCAATAATTAAATAACAATTTATTCATTAGTTGATCTGGAATTAGGTATCACGTTTTTATTTCACAGTAAATATTCTCTAATTTATTAGTAAAGTAAGTATATTTAACTATTGTCAAATAAAAGAGTATTATGCCAGTTTGATTGTCTTAATTTAACCTCAAAACTTGCCACGTATGTAGGAACCGCTTCTAGCTAAAGAAAATCCAATTGCACTGTACAGACTTCTCTATTTTTCACCCCAAACTGTAAGTAAAACGTGATTGGAATTCCTTACATATGTTTTGATTTTATGTTTATAATTCATTGTTATTTCAACACCAGCATGGCAACCCATAAAAGCCCATGTTAATTTTTTTTATTTAAAATTCATTTTTGTGCTTATTTTTGAGCCTATTTTAATTTTTAAAAGGATTCTCCACATCTACAGGAAAATATCTTTCTAACAGTATAAGTAATTTTCCCTGCGATGCACACAAGCTGAGAAAGCAGGTTTTAAAGAAACATGCTTGCCTATTAAGTATTAATATATAGATAGATATATGCATAAAGAACACAGCCTACATAAAGGTTTATTTTTTTTTTTATTTTATCAAGAAATAAAGAACATAACTACACAAAATATTTAAAATTGTTTAGGAAGATTTAGTACTGTTCGCAAATGTAATATGTAATTTTCTTGAAGGTAGGAAACATGATTCAAGTTAAGGAACTTATGTCAAGTTTATGTACCACTCTCTGAGATTAGTTCCTATTCAGTTTTATTTTTGGACGTCTTCTGTCTAAGGTTTCTGATTACATGAATCTCATTTCCTCAGAGTCATTTTACTTGAAGTTAAATTACTTCGATTTTTATATCCAAACTACACTTGTTTTAAAAGCAAAACCTTATAGGCTTGTTTACAGTTGAAAGTCTATGAGGTAATAAGTTAGCTTCGCTTTTTTATTATTTACTAGCTGTACCCGCGGGCTTTGCCCCATTTAGCTTCATAAGTATTCGCATGGCTCATTCACGTCGTGGTTGAAGTTCGTTCGCTACGCTCACTCACCTTTAGGTTGGAGCTCGTTCGCTGCGCTCACTTGCCTTCAGGTTAGCTCATTCGCTACGCTAACTCGCCTCCAGGTTGAAGTTCGTTCGCTACGCTCACTCACCTTTTCGTTGGAAATCAGCTGTTGTCATAAATTTAAAAAAAATAATAGTGCTGCACCCTGTTGGTAATCCTTGTAACTTTTATGCTATTGAACATCATAGAACAGAACCAACTTGTTTAATTGAAACAGCTGTTAAGATTCATTAATTCCTTTTAAATATGAAAAATCATAAGGTTAACATGGGGAACTACAGAGCCACTGGGGCGGAGCCCGAAAGGATTTTTGGGATAAGAATATGCTTTAATGTTAATCGGGAATGTGAGCTATCATCATGCCAAATTTCAGCCCAATCCGTCCAGTAGTTTATGCGTGATTGAGCAACAAACACACACACAAACTCACAAACTTTCAGATTTATAATATTAGTAAGATTTGTTTAATTGTTTAATTTATTTATTTTAAATTGTTTAACACGATGACTGCTGAAAACAACGTACAGGCGCTCCCCAGTGGCGGGCGAAGCCCCGGCACGCAACCGAATCAGCGAACGCAATTGGCATTCAAATATTTCAGTCTCACGAATCACAAAAGAGCAGTGGTGACTGTGCTGCGTTACCCCGAGAGTGGATGTAGTTCACTGAAACACCCAAAGGTAGCAGCACTGCACGGATCCGTATCCAGTGTCTTTGTAATGTGGGTTGAAGAGAAAAAATCCCCGAAACCGGGACAAAAGCATTGCCAGACAGGATTTTACGGGAAATTTTAGTACCAACCTACACCAAAGTAAAGCTCGCATTCTAAGCTGGCAGGCTGGCAACGATTATAACGTCTCCGTCTGAGGCTAAGCTCACACTGACTCAATATATTTCTGTTGGTCTGGTGCCGACTTTTGTCGGCGCGCGCCACATTGAAGTGCTAGCGACGCCGACTAGAGTCGGCGTTAGCAGTCAACGTGTTAACTTTAAAATATCAATATTTTACCACAAGTCCATGGCTTAAGTCTTGCAATATGCATTTAAAAAATTGTGATCTTCAATGTAATTACTCTTGAAAATAAATTGATAGGTAGTTTTTGTACAGTAAAGATAATATTGATGGTAAACCAAAAAAGAAAATTACATCTGACATAGTAAGCTTCAAAAAGTCTTAAATACAGAAACTAGGTAAGTCAACAAAACCAATTCTATGTTTAACAAGATTTTAACTGTTAAAAAAAGTTAAGGTAAGAAACTAAAAAAGATACAGGAATATTTTGTGTAACAAAAAATAGAGAATATCCTCAAAAAGATTTTTATCTCATCAAAGAGTAAAATCTATATGAATTACGTTCTTCATTATTGTGATCGTTTAGATGCTTTGTACCACAATAACTCATATTATTAAAAGGCACTAGTTTGAACAACAAAGCTACTGACATTGAGCAAAGATTACTGTCAGAATCGGACTACCTGTGCACATACTTTAACAGGATATACAGCCACTTGTGTAACTCACTGACTCACTGATCAGACAAATGCTTGTTTTGCGCTCTTCTAGAATAGCTAGGGATCTGAAATTTTTTGTGGAGGTCCGTTTCGGTCCCAAACCACCCAGATTAAAAAAAGTTACATTTTCAAATTACGAATTAGGTTGTTTTTTAACGCTTGTTGGTCCAAACCATTGTGCACGGGTGGTCTGATTCATCTGTTTACACTGTAAAACGTAAGTGTTCCAATGAAAAAAGTTACAAATAGGTTTCTACCTATTTGTTAGGGGAACTGTAATGTAAGCCTGTTTTCTAGTTGAAAGTTTTACTTTTACCATTTATATCAAAAATAAAATAAGAGAAATCATTATGAAACACAGAATAATGGCTTGTCCAGTAAACTTACTAAGTCTGGTAACTAAAAGATATTTTACGCTATATTAATCAGTACTTCCGCTACTTTTGCAACAACTTTTTAAAAGACGTTCAATAATGTACCACTTTCAATAGTTTGGCACCGCCATAGCCCAGAGTGAGCCAGATTTGGGAGTGTCTGATGTGTGATGGCCTAGTTCATTTAAGACATATTATAAAGTGATCACTCAAGGGATGACTCTTAGCTATATCCAGTCCAACCAGATGTAAACCGACAAGTATACTTCCATACACACATTACACTAGTATAATACACACATTATGCATGTATGCATATGCCCTGCCCTCCAAAACCTGCAAGCAGTCCAGGTACATGGTGAACATGATAGCAACATTCCATTTGAATCACAATTGTGTAAAAGTTGTAGAAATACATCAGCACTTTACCAACGCCACCTGTGTGAGTAAACATCAACAGATAAACCATTCTCCTCGTGGTAAGTCTGTCTTCTTTGCATTATGGTTATATTCAGACTCTTCTCGGCTGTTTCAATACAACACATCAAAGGGTTTTCCTGAAGGTCAGGATTTACACAGATTGTTGGACCAGTAGGACACCAGCTGATGATCTTGTGGTTTTACTCCCAGAGCTACCAACAGCGAAGCAGCATTTTCCATCCGTGTCAGGTGTACCAGCTTGGCAATGCTGGAAAAAATCAAAGTGAGCCAGTGAAAAAATGGAATGTAAATTTCAGAACTAAACTGGAACACATAGCACAAGTTTATTCTGATATACATAAACTCTGGACTGGACATCAAATCTTTTTAACCTTTTTGATATTAAGATTAAGTATTGTTATTTCACATACGAATGATGTCCATATAAAGGTCTCCATTGAGCTCCCTTTGAGGAGAAGCTAGATCAAATTTGAAACCAACGCCATGTTCTTCACTTCATCCACTACTATTCCAGCTGGTTTTTATGTGACGATAAGTCTTTTAATAGCAGCTTACAACTTTATCAAAAATTTGATGCTCCTGCCCAGTACGAGTCACGTTCTTTGATTTCTGTGGTCTAAGGCATCAGCCTCTATTGAAATCCGCTAAAGTATGGAGTAGCAGAAAGTTTTAAGAAACATAAAATTTGCATAAATGTCTTAGCAATTTAGCAGAAGGCTGTACAAATTTGCACAACAAGGCCAGCAAGGGGTGATCATTATCCATCGGAACATTGGTTCAAGTTGAGGAAACTTGACTTGCCGATCGGAGAGTTTATGATCACTAGGATTTACTGTTGTCCTTTTACATCCCCAATCAGTTCAGCAATTTCTAATTCGGTCACATTTTGATCTGCATGCAAATGTTCTCTAGCTTGGTTACTGCCTCTAATGAGACTCATGAGACTCTCTTTAACACAAAATTTAACCTGCAATACACCAACGTGTATTTTAAAGCTTGAAAATCTTCTGTGGTGCCCATTCATAATAAATGGGAGTTTTAATGTTTTCAAAATATCACGATAAAATATCTTTATCTAGCGCTACCTATCAATCTTATGGTTAATATTGAATATATTTCAATGTTTGATAGCTGTCTCTACTCAGTCTTAGATGTATTATGGGATATGTTATTGTACGTACTGCATCCACTCTTGTCTGTAGCTTTGCAGGTGATAAGTCAACGCTTTTCCTCTCAACAGTTCACAAGCCAAGGCTTTCAAAATCTTGCTTAGTAAAGTTGGATCTGTAAAAATTGGGAATATTCAGATTAAAGAAAAATATTATGAAAATGAAATAGTTATTTGCGTAACTAATGTGCGAAGTGGCATTTTGCTGCACATTAGAGAATTGTATATGCACGAGCCGCAGGGGAGTGCAGCAAAAGTGCTTTGCACTCGCGTTATACATTATATTTTTCCTACAGTTTGCTACGCACCATAAAGCTTTCTATAGATCTATTCATTAACTTAGGCCTACAAAATTCCTTTGGCTATTAATTTAGCCCACATAGAACTCAAAGTCATTTCTTAATAAAGATAATTTTTAACTTGTGTTTTTATTTCTGTCTAATGAGGTAAGTCTTTATCTTAATCTTATAACATATGAATTATTTTAAGAATAAATAGATTTGGTAAGTTACAATATGACATTTATTAGTGAAATACAAATCTATACTATTATATAAAAATCTAATGGTGTCTGTCTGTATGTGTGTTACTAATAGGTGCAAAAACTACTGAACAAACTGGGCTAAAATTTTACAAAAATATAGTTACCATACCAAGGACCATTATAGGACCATTCACGTTGCGATACTGACCGTAGGCTTTGCCCTTTTGGCTTGAAAAGTTGTGAGGTGAAGATTTTATAAGTAAATATTGATTGGTCTCCATGGCTGCGATGAGAACGCTAACAATTTTTGTTTACATTTGCTTTGACATTTAAATGTAAACAAGAGGAACTGTTAAACTGCATATTTCACAATTTCAGACAGCTGATACAAAGAAATTAAATATAATATTTTCCATAACTATGAGGTAGGATTATTTTAATCTAACCTTTTATCATGGATTGTTTATTCTAAAACTATGTCAATGATTATATAAAAAAAAGATTCTATAACCATTGCTGTATCAACTCCGGCTCTGCTTTGGATTTTTTTAAAGCGTCTAAGTTATGAAAATAATGTTATTAATATGATTTCATGGAAACAGTATGAAAATTACGATGTATAGATGTTTTATATGAATTTGGAGGCTACTTTAAATAAATTCTAACTCCTTAACATGTGTTAGATTAACTTAACATAACTTGCACATCACATTGTTTTTAGCGAATTTCCCATATAGGGAATAAGCTATTACCGTAGTACTCATGGTAAGACCTGGACCCGGGACCGATTTTTTTTTTCGTTTTGAGGTCCCCAGAGGCCAAAAACACCATCCGTTCAAATTCATATATATATATATATTTATATATTTATATATTTATATATTTATATATATATATATATATATATGTGTCCGTCAGCACGATAACTTGAGCAAAAATGATCCGATTTTGATGAAATTTGGTACAAACGTGTAAACCTACGTTTATTCGAACGAGTTCGCGATCCAGCATGATCGGACCATGGGAACGGGTGTTTACGGGGGGTTTTATGGGGTAAAAATAGGTTTTTCCCATTTTTGACCCAAAAAACATAAAATTTAGCAATTTATTTCCGAACCATTTTGTAGAGCTTCAAAAAACAAATAATTTAGTATATTGAAGCGTTATTATGCGCCTAATGGTTACGGAGAAAATTCCAAAAAATTGTAAATTTAAAATTCCCATGTTATTCTTATGGAGAATGAGTAAACTGTTGTAGTTTGCTTGTTTATGAACATATTTTGATCAAATTTGGAAAATGTTTTTATTTCTTACTAACTATTAACATTTTACAAAAAAAAAAAAAACAGTTTTACCCTCCCTGATGCAGCAAACCTAAGTACTTGTTAAACTAATTCTATTTAAATCGGGAATAAATGTTATATTTTTAAGTAGACATTTCAGTGTAAATCCAATCAGTCAAATGGAAATTCGCTTAGTCTGCAGGTTTGCTGCGGCGGGGGTATTTATATGTATGTTTAGGTAAATTAAGTTATTGTGTTTTGCTAAACCTATGCATTAATTAAACTAAAGAATATCATCAATGACTAAATTGTACTGTACGTCAATGATTTTTGTTTTTTAAAATCTTTTGTATATGTGTAACTATAATTAATTATCAAATGGTAATACAAAATACTCTTATTTTATCTTAACATAGCTTTCAGTTCACATTTACTTTATTTGATACATTTATTATTTGTGTTTTGCCACACCACTGATTAAATTAAACCAAGAAAAATATCATAAAACTAAGCAGTACACAGTGTTCTTTTGTTTCTAAAATCAATGAAATATCTGATAAATACTATGTTTACTTTATGGCAAGTGTGAAAATGTAAAGCCAATGGACGATGGAACTGATTAAAAGAACTGGTTTGTATATTAAGTTGTTTGTTGATATTTTTGTAGAGTAGAATCAGAGATGCAATGAAACATTTACTGTATTTGCTGTTAAATTGTTTAGTCCTTGATGCTTTGATAGTCATATTAGTTTTGTCTGCTGTCTTTAATGCTAAATTATTTGTTTAAATTTTTTTATTGTACCTATAGATATAGTTTCTTTAATATTTCAAAAGACTGTATTGAAAAGGTATAGCAATATTTCTAAAGTTTATAACAGCTGACTTAGTTTTGCTAATGATTTATTGTGAGTGAAGAAACTGAAGATAGAAGGATTTGTGATTTAATATAAAGAAGAGTGAAATTTAAAAAAAATTAATTAAAATTTAATAATTAGTAGTAACTTCAAAATTGAAATTTAAAATGTCAATAATAAATAAAAAGATATGTTATTAAGGGAGATGAAATGGTGGTATCCACTACTTAAAAGATTTAAAAGTCATAACTTAAACGTTTCTATTAAGGCCATAAAAGTTGAATTTTGTTTATAAAAGCGTTGGGGGATGTGTAACTATTATATGCAACAGATGTAAAGATTAAAATGTTTCTATTTTGTGTCCTCTTCCCGTTGCAAAGCACGGGTACAACAGCTAGTATAAGATAAGTTAAGTTATTGGTTGAATTAGCTATAGGGTCTAACAATGGTAAATTTACAAAATGGTGGGGGTTTTAAAGTGGATAACAAGATTCTAGCCTAGGCTATAATAGTTATATTGGGTTGGTTTCTTCTGAAGTGATTAATATTTAAATAACTTATATGGGCTCTTGATCTCAGGGAGGGGTGGTCGTGCCGGTTTGAATGATATATTAGGCTTTATTTAAAATGCAGATAATTTAATTATTGTTCTGAAATAGGCTAGGTTTATGATGCTATATTGTAATATGTCAATGTCCAAAGAAAGATTCCAAATGGTTTCACTGAATTTAATGAAATAAAATAAGATTTGAAGATTAAATTTGGAATAAAAGTTAAATTTGAAATATGTATATCTTGATGAGTTAAATTATAATTGGGCCTATTAGGCTATGCTGATTCAAAATGTCCCATGAAGATTTGTCCTTAGTTATTTAAACAAGATGGATGATGGTTACCAATTTTGGTGTCTCTGTCTTCACCTTTGTACCACAAGCAATAAATAAAATAGGGGTTGGTTAAAATTTGGTACTTTCAAGGCACTTGTCCCTAATACTTTTGATTTAAAACAATTTAAAATTTAGATTACACTTTGGGATGAATTTAATTTAAGTCAAGCACAATGTTCTATAAAGTGATGTTAACACTGTAAAGAGTTGGCCGGATCTGGGCAGAGGCAATGGTTGAGGTATAGCGTCTCAGTTTCCGCACCCACAGACTGATGAGAACCTCTTTAGAGAAGGAGTGGGGGGGCGTGACGTCACTCTGCTCTTTAGGGAACACCATTAACGTAACGAGACAAAGAGATTCCATCGGGGTTCGTGGCACAGTTGATAGCGTCTCGGACTCGTGACCTGGAGGTCCGCAGTTCGAATCCCGCCGGCAATAATTTTATTTTTTATAATAACAAATTTTAAAATTAATTTTATAATTAAAAATTAATCATAAGAAAAACCTTCATTAGATTTTTATTTTATATCTTTTTTATATTATCAGCAAGTTTGGTTGGTTAGGTTAGGTTATGACAGTTTAATTTTATAATTAAATATTTTAAAATTAATTTTATAGTTAAAAAGTTAATTTTCTATCTAAAATACTATAAAATTTTCTTAAATCGAAGTGGGGGGCTTTCCCTCACTCTTTCGCCGAAAAGGATCTCATCAGTTTGCGGGTGGGGAAACTGAGATGCTAGTATGGTTGAAGCTCTGGAAGTCCATGTCCATTGTTGAAATGATGTACAGCTGGTTAATTCACATAAATCACACTTGCCACTGTAATTTTGATTTTCTTTGGATGATTTTGAAAAGTAATACTATATTTAAGATATTATTATATTTCAATTTTCTTACAATTATATATTATTCTATGTAAATGATTATTGTTGGTTTTTGATAAGTATAGGATAGATATGGTGAGAATTGGCATAAATATTATATTGTAACATAAAATAGGATGATTATCAGGGGCATTAACAGACATTATGGGAGAAAATATACAAAATAATAGAGAAATTAATGTTAATGATGAATGAATGACATGTAATATTACAAGTTAGTATAAATCATATAAATAATTAGTCCTTCAAACACTATACAACAAGTTGTTACAAGTCAGGAGCTCCGCGCAACAATAGCCAGGCGCCGTCTCAAAAGGGTTGTTTGTTAAACGGGTTTCTTCGAACGCACGACTGATAGACAATAGACCCATGTCAACGGACTACCTCAATAGGGGCTTATCAATAGGGACAATTAGAATAGGCTTTAGCTAGGTTTAGATAGGGTTAGTTAGGTGTTAGGTAATTCTAATATCTGTAAATATAGAATAATTAGTGTAAATAAATAGTTATTATAAAATCGCCAAGTTTTATTTGTAAAGAACCTGCTAAGCCCGCAACAAAGTTTTTAGGATAGGTTAAACCCAAGTGTTAAACGAAGAGGGATACGCTGTACCAAAAGATCGTAGTCATAGTTTGTTTAAGTGTTGTCAAATTATTGTCAAGCGTACCTGTATTACGTGCCTAATAAAAAGCATCCTGTTTTGTGTTGTTTGGTTGGAATACTGGAGTGCGGCAAAAGTAACATGAGTGTGGAAAAAGTAAGTAAATACAACAATTAGCTACTTTGCATGTTATAATCAGTACAAGAACGCCAGCTTTGTCAGGTAACTATAGGACAATAATTTTAAAAAGAAGTGATAGAAATGTCTAAGACCTTAGAGGGGAAACGATATTCTAAACCAAAAGGGTTGAGCTTGTTTGTAAGACCTATGGTGATATTTTCAAAAATTAGTATTTTCAAAATTAACTTTATTTAACTTACCAAACAAACACTACTCAGCATATAACAGAAAACGTACAAATTATATAATGTTTTAAAAAGTATTATTCACGGTTCACATGTGATATACTTACACTTGGCTGGCATGATGGCAGTAGTCTTGGCAGACACACATCCCTGCACCATGTCTACCCTTACTATGTTGTGGCAAGGACAAGGTACAGCTACTTGAGTGCTGACACCTAGCAAGCCACACTCCCCTGGCTCTAGGTACTCATCACAGTCAGGCAATGTTCTGCACCAATCACTTGGCAGTAGCTCCTGCAAAGTTCAAATATAAGACAGCTACTTGAGTGCTGACACCTAGCAAGCCACACTCCCCTGGCTCTAGGTACTCATCACAGTCAGGCAATGTTCTGCACCAATCACTTGGCAGTAGCTCCTGCAAAGTTCAAATATAAGACAGCTACTTGAGTGCTGACACCTAGCAAGCCACACTCCCCTGGCTCTAGGTACTCATCACAGTCAGGCAATGTTCTGCATCAATCACTTGGCAGTAGCTCCTGCAAAGTTCAAATACAAGACAACTACTTGAGTGCTGACACCTAGCAAGCCACACTCCCCTGGCTCTAGGTACTCATCACAGTCAGGCAATGTTCTGCACCAATCACTTGGCAGTAGCTCCTGCAAAGTTCAAACATAAGACAGCTACTTGAGTGCTGACACCTAGCAAGCCACACTCCCCTGGCTCTAGGTACTCATCACAGTCAGGCAATGTTCTGCATCAATCACTTGGCAGTAGCTCCTGCAAAGTTCAAATACAAGACAACTACTTGAGTGCTGACACCTAGCAAGCCACACTCCCCTGGCTCTAGGTACTCATCACAGTCAGGCAATGTTCTGCACCAATCACTTGGCAGTAGCTCCTGCAAAGTTCAAACATAAGACAGCTACTTGAGTGCTGACACCTAGCAAGCCACACTCCCCTGGCTCTAGGTACTCATCACAGTCAGGCAATGTTCTGCACCAATCACTTGGCAGTAGCTCCTGCAAAGTTCAAATACAAGACAACTACTTGAGTGCTGACACCTAGCAAGCCACACTCCCCTGGCTCTAGGTACTCATCACAGTCAGGCAATGTTCTGCACCAATCACTTGGCAGTAGCTCCTGCAAAGTTCAAATACAAGACAACTACTTGAGTGCTGACACCTAGCAAGCCACACTCCCCTGGCTCTAGGTACTCATCACAGTCAGGCAATGTTCTGCACCAATCACTTGGCAGTAGCTCCTGCAAAGTTCAAATATAAGACAGCTACTTGGTAGTCACTAAGTTAAGTTATTTAAACACTTGTTAGAAACTAATTTTAAATATCTCTATTTGCGTTGTAAAAGGTTCACCTACATTATTTCTGCTCTCAGTTTTAACTGATAACTTCTAATGAATGCTAAACGGGAGTATGTTTAATCTATGGCTAAACGATCTGCTTCAATTTGAGTTAACATGATACAACAAAGTTTTTCCAGCATTGAGAATTGAAAAAAACTGTTGCCTTACTGATAGCCTGTGTTAAGTAATAAAAGTTTGGGGCATTTGATTTTTTTGATTTGAGACTTTCCTCTAATCAAAACAATTTTCTTCGTAGAGAATCCTGAAACATTGGGTGTTATCAACCATTTCATGTGCTTCATTTTTTACCCACAAACTCTGGGTTACCAACTGGACAGCCATAATCTGCTTTGAATAGGCTAATGCAGCAACACTATTGAAAGTTGGTTAACATATTTTGACGTGTTGTCTGTCAGTCACAGTAGGCCTTATGTGCCCCGCATCAGGACGTTCTTACGTTGTAAGAACATAAGATAGTTTATTATTAATTTTCTCCTCCTCCCGTTTGAAATATTTCTTCATTGAACTTGAGGCATTTTCTGTTCTTCCAACAAAACAGATTTAACTGTTTAACTTGGTATTAACCTACTGAATATTACAAACATTAATATTTACTCCCAAAAAGCTAATGAGTTTCTTTTTATAAACAGATGTTTTTTGTTTTTACATTTGTTCTGTGTATTTCTTATGGGGAAAACCCGACATTTGAGAGGGTCTCACGCCCTTAAGAGTAGGAATTTTAAAATTTTAAAACCTTATTGCAAAACTACATATTGAGACGAATCTTTTGACACCTTAAACGTTGAAATTGGTCCACAAATAGGCCTAAGGGAGGAGTTGCGTTAACAAAAAACAGCTTCACGTATTATATATGCCTAGAACAAAAACAGGCAAATTGCTATGTTGTTATTACCTTGAATGTAGTAACAGTGGCTTTGACAAGGTCGGGTATATCACCCCGAACAATAACCTGACGACCTTCTATGATATGGAGAGCTGCCAAGTCAAACACCTGAGCTCCCAGAAACACTCTCAGGGACTTGAGACTGCCTTCCTCTACAACACAACACAATTATTGGACATCAGTAGTCACTGGTGGTCTAAGAGACTTATTAGAGAATTGCAGAGGCTTTGCATCAGATCTCAAACACAAATGAAGATATCGTGCCCTGTGATTGCAGCAATGTAGTTGACATCTTCCGCATCAGTTACAACATTATCATGATAAAGCAAAAACACCCAAACAACAATAATTTAACATTGTGAAAATACCATCTGTTTTTGTCATTAATGCAAGACTGATGTTAAACCTATACATTAAAAAGTCCTTTAAAACACTGGCCTAAATACAATCTCGACCAAAAACTTCATATTCTTAGAGTGCAAGGTAAGGTGATATACCTTCATCTTACTTGCGTCTTGTTTGATATCTTAATAATATTTTATCATTGGAAAAGTGAAAGTGTTCAAAACCATTAGAGTAACTCACCAAAGACATGTTGAGCTTGTAACCGATAGTATGGAGAGCGAGGGATTGCTTCTGATAAGCGAGAGTTGCAGGCATGAATCATCCAGGCAAACCAACAATGCAGCCTGTGCAGATCAAACACTACAGTAAGAGGATAACTCACAACTACTCAGCAACTATTTTGATTCCTGATTTTATAAATGTTAACATGTTAACAAATTGTACTATTGTCCTAGAACCGGTTCAAAACTAGCAAAAAATGATTATTTTGAAACATCCTTTTTGCTTTTGAATTCCACGTAAAACTATTACTTTACTGAATAAAAGTTATTTAAGTGAATTATGTGCATTACAATAACGTAAATCAATTTTTAAACCATCAAGACATTATTTTAATATGTATTGTAGATAATATTTCCAGTTTTGAAACATTAGACAAAATAAATCACTAACCTTAACTCGGTCAAGACGCAATAAATAATTGAACGAAAGGGCGATATAGGCAAGCGCTAACTATCTGTGTCAACGCAATGCCCGAATCGCCCGTTCCTATGATGACACAAGGTTGCCATGGCACGGATAGTGCGCACTCGCCACTGCCCCACATGTAGGCAGGGAAAAAGCAAAAAATGGGAAGAGAGAATGACTTTGCAACCTTGAATGACGAGAAAACTAAATCGACGAGTCATCACAGACGCCAAGCTGTCTGCTGTGTGAATTACAAAATATTTAGTCTAGGCCTAATTTGTACTGGAATTAAGAAATAAATAATTAATTATTGGTATTTAAAAAACAAATTGTTCATTTTTTATGCTTTTTTCCACACATTTCCTTAGTTTTGTCTTATTAATTAAACAGCACACTCTTTAATCCCTTCTTCTATAATCTTGGCACAAATAATTAATTGTCTATCCTTCTTATGATTCTATTCCTATTTCTTTACCTCCATTTGGTAGATCTCTTTTGTCACGTAGCTTTTTAACCCGTGCACACCACAGCTTTCATTTTCTCACCTTAGTACAGTTACGCTCCTAGTATACCGTCATTGTGATGATTTTGAGTTGCAATTTAAATTTAACCGTTTGTCTGTCAGCTCCGTTGTAACTGTAAGGACCAAGGATGTGTACAGTGACAGTGAAATGTCGGGCAAGTAGAGTAAACGTGTAGTGCTATCAATTCAACAAAAACTGGGAATGATTGAAAAATTTTAAAAGGGTAAGACCACAGACAATATAATACTTTAATGCAGACGGTCAGCTGGATCTGCGCTAGGCGCTGTTTCATGATGCGGCTGTATTGCCGCGCCACTGTAGCGGAAGACGCGAAGCGTTTCTCCTCGAGTGGCGCCGTGGGATTCTATTTAAATTTGAATGAACGCGCTTTTAATGAGATATTTCTCGAAAACTATTTAAGATATCTTTATGAAACTTGGTGTACAGTTTTAATACGTCATAATGTATTTAAGGAAAAACAATCATTAAAAAATATGATCCTGTTTCAAAATTGCTGTGTTTTAGCGAATTTCCCATACATAGAATAAACTATTACCGTAGTACTTATCGTAACATCTGGACCTGGGACCGATTTATTTTTCGTTTTGAGGTCCCTAGAGTCAAAAATCACCAACCGTTCAAATTCATATAAAGTGTGTAAATAAAGTCTTGAAATAGATCTGTATTTTTTAAACCGAAATAGATTAAAATATTATGTTTGTGGCATTGAATGTTAACAAAGGTTCCGTTTTTTACATCAAAAATATTGTTAACCCCCCTAACAGGGTAGGGTAGGGGTGACTTATTGTTTTCAAATAGCAACCCCTATTGAGTGACCCCTCATTTTGAAGGATTTATCAAAAGAAACATAATGACGCAAACCCTTGGTGGATATCTCACCCCTAGCCAAAATGACAGGTATTTCAAAATGCGATTTAATGTATGTGAAAAAGCACCAATTTCAAAAATATAAAAACAAATCTGTATTTGTAAAACCGAAATGATAGAAATATACTGTTTGTCGTTTTAATTGTTAACATAGGTTCCGCAATTTTTTTACATCAACAATATTTTTTAACCCCTTTAACAGGGTAGGGGTGGGGGATCGAAAACTATTTAAGATATAAATTTGAAATAAAAACTTCACCAATATTTCTAAATATATAGATGAAGTTTTTATTTCAAATTTATATTAATTCCAATATTACCAGTTTTTCTTGAAGATATTTAAGATATGTTTATGAAACTTGGTATACGGTTTTAATACGTTATAATGTATTTAAGAAAAAATAATCATTGAAAATATGTTTCTGTTTCAAAATACGGGTATTTTAAACTTTATATCTTTAATTACAAAAAACCTGCTGATTTTATGAAAAAAAGCCATGGACGCTTTTATTTAGCATTTAAAATACCCTATCAAACGCCACCAAGTTTTAAACGATCCCATTACAAACAGCTGAGAAATTAGGATATTTAGTTGAACAGGTCAGGTACCCGTTTTATAATTAAACACCGCACTACAAGACTACAGGTTAAAAGTTGTGACTTGAAATTTTCATTATATTTGCAATTTTGAGGTGTGAAAAAGTGTCAACAAGTCTGGACTTTGAAAATTTTCTTGGTAACTGTTATTTGTACCGATATAAAATAATGCTATTTTTTTAATTTGTTGATTATTTTATGTTGTATTATTGTTCATAATCAAAAGTTGATACCCACGTAGTGTGCCAGAATTTAGACAGTGTTGCCATATCTCAAGCCGTTTTCGAAATATAAGTGTTTTTTAACAGTTTAATGGGCTCAGAAAATTTTGAGGTGTGGAAAATATATGTTATTGGAAAAATGTTATCTGTCTGTCTATAATACTCAAGATAGAATTTTACGCCATCTTATCCAGGAAAACGAGAGTACCTATCAAGATCCACGTCATTTTAATGTATTCACTGGATTGGCGCGTGTCTTTAGCCATTAAAATATGGCCTCACTACTTTGTAAATAAAATTACGGACGATCATATTTTAATCGCTAAAGACACTCTCGCCAATCCAGTGAACACATTAAAATGACTTGGATTTTGATAGGTACTCTCGTTTTCCTGGAGAATATTGCGTAAAATGCCATCCTGAGTGTTACAGACGGACAGTAGACAGACAGACAGACAGAAATAGAGATAAGACTTGTTTCAGCTTCTTTAATGTATAAAACGTAAAAATAACCCAAAAATATATAATTCTGAGCAATGTACAGACAAAACTCTAATTTTATGTATATAGAAGATTAATCATCTATGAAATAACCAACAGCTGTTCAGAACAAGATTATTTTTTCTAGCTGTAACTGATATGTTTACAAATATGATGTTTACAAATACCGCAACCATTTTCGATCACGTTTTTAAAGCAAATCCCAACCAAGTGAGATTAAAAACGTTTTACTTACATAACGGATTTAATTAATCGCAAGTGCAATGTAAATGAAATTAAATAACTAGGCATCATCCAGGTCAGGAATCAGAGATTCTTTGTGTATAAAATTGTTCTTGAGTTTTGGTAACCAGAAAGAAGACCTTGAATCAGTGTTGTATACGGCTGGGAAACTTAAATTTATTAATGATCGTCACCAATAGCTTAGAAACAAGGTTTCCAGTCATTGACGGCGCTTCAATGGCGGTTGTGTAAAGTGCTAAGTAAAAAATCACCACTGCAGTGGGTGATTGTAACAGATGTTTACGGATGATGCTAAACTCGCTTTTCCAATGTGTCACTGTCTGTTCCTACCATTGACTATATGTACAGGGTTAGTAAAAAGTCTGGAGACCCCCTGTTAATTTTTTAACGGCCCATACTAGAAAAACCAAACTCGGCATACCTTTATGGCATGTTATGAAGTACTTTTTGGGCATAACCACTACTTGGTGTACATCCTAAAAATGGGGGATTTTGGGGGAAACTCGGGAATTTCAAAAGGTAAGACCCATCAATTGACCAATTTTAAACATATGCTATAATTCTATGTTTTGTTTACATATACGTCGTTATTTTATAACCATCATGGCAACCTATAAGGCCAATGTTAAAATTTAAAAACGTTGAGTTTCTTTAAAATTATACAGGCACTAGCTGTGTTCTGAGTGAAAATTTAAAAACGTACGTTTTCAGGAAAAGCACTTTGCAAATTCTTTTCCCCTTTTTTCAAAACTTTTATTTTTATTTTTATTTCACTAACATTTGAAGTTTCATAAAATGTCCATGGTAACGCAATATCTTTGGTAGTTTCTTTTTAAAAGAGCATCTTTAGTGGAAAAACACAAAATCCTGTCACGACCATACCCTAGGGACACGTCATGGTCGTGAATTTCGAGACTTTAAAAATACGAAAAAAATACCTAGAACCTATTTAAAACCAAATAAATGTGTGTAGCATGTTGCCCCCGTCCCAAAAAATATTAAAACACATAATAATAAACTACAAATCCAGTATCTACGAAGTAAAAGGCCAGGGACATGAAAACGTACGTTTTTAAATTTTCACTCTTCTACGTACGGGGATCTTTTAGTAAGTTGAAACCTTCAACCTTTAAATTCAGAACAGGAGTTGGTTTGCATATTTAGTGTGCATTTTCCAGATATGCTGGTGCATCATGGTTATTGTTATCTTTATTATTTACTAGCTGTTGTACCCGTGCTTTGCAACGGGAAGAGGACACAAAAGAAACATTTTAATCTTTACATCTGTTGCATATAATAGTTACACATCTGCCAACCCTTTTAGAAACAAAATTCAACTTTTATAGCCTTAATAGAAACGTTTAAGTTATGACTTTTAAATCTGGTAAGTAGTGGATACCACCATTTTGGTTTTGATTAATTTTAAATCTTGTCTAGGCTGATGTGAGAAAAAACTTACCAAATCTTCAAATAAAACTTTTACATCCATGATTTACCTTCATCCCCCTTAATTACATATCTTTTAATTTATTATTGGCATTTTAAATTTCAATTTTGAAGCTGCAAAAACACTAGTTATTAAATTTAAATGAACATTTTTTTGAAATTTCACTCTTCTTTAAAGAAAAATCACAAATCCTTCCATCTTCAGTTTCTTCACTCACGATAAATCATTAGCAAAAC